TCTACTAGGTCCCTTCCGACCCTTAATCTATGAATCATAATGTCCATCAAGACATGGCAGGCAAGTATATGGTGGGACATATGAGCTCCAAAGAAGGCTCCAAGGGCACCCCACATAAGACGTGGATTACCGGGGAAGATGGCACTGGGGAGAGTGACCTGTTACAAGCAGGTAGGGCAGATTTCACCTCATGGACCAGATGGCAGCCCTAGAAGCTCCTGTCTATTTGTATCTTCCGGAGATCATTGGCCTTAAGGCCTACCTAGTTACCTAATAGCCTACACTACTGTGTGGGGCCAAAGTTTGAAAGGTGCAACTAACTTTTTTTTTTTTCTGGGACAACTAAGGAAGAAAAGGGTAGGAGTGATGTGGGGTTATACGTTTAAAATGTGAAAAGAAGTTTGCCAGAGGGGGACACCAAGCAGAGCCCCCCGAGCCACACCCACCAGTCCTCAAGGCATCCAAGGAGCTGGTGGACACTGCCCACTAGTGCACTGCCCAGAAACATGCATGGACAAGGAAGAGGAAAGTGACCCCGCAGTCTCTGGGCACCTTCCCAGCCAAAGCCTCCTTCCTGGTCAAGTAGAGGGCTCACTTGGCCAGGGCCAGGAGGAGGTTGACCAGGAGGTGCTGGGATTTGGTGGGGTAGTGGATGGGGTGACCAAAGACAAAGGTGGGGGGTGAAATTCAACCAGTACCTCGAGGAGGTTCTAGAGGTGGATGTGGAGGGACTGTAGCCTGGCGGACTTGAGGGTCATGTGTACCAGGGTCTCCTGCCCATAGAAGAGGCAGGAGGCCAGGGTGTCCATGAAGCTCGCCACATACACGCTTGTGGCAACGGCTCCATGGAGAAGCCACCAGCTGAGGTCCCCAGTGTCTCCTGGGATGAGGGTAGAGTACAGACTCATCCACTGAGGTGCCCCAGCCACATCTTTGCTAAGCAGGTCCTGCCACTTGGTGTCTGGGTGGGATGCAAAGGCAGCATGATGGATAATGCAGTGCACAAGCATGTAGAGCTGGCAGTGATGAACGGTGGAAAAGCGGACCAGTCTGGTGCCCTCCAGCTGGTTCAGATGTTGGAGTGGGGAGCACCATGAATCCAGGCAAGGCGCTGGCCCCACAACAAACTCCGGTGGGCTGGAGGACAAAGGGGGGTGGGGGCCACCACCATGCAAAGACCTGGTCAACAAAGGCAAGGGTGTAGGGCAGATCTCACCTCCCGGACCAGACAGCAGGTTGCACGTGTTATGGGTAGATCCATGCACCAGGCCAGCACAGCAGGGTCCACCCACTCCCACCTACCATAGTTCAGGAGGTCTCCAATGCAGGTGACACCAGCCAGGATCAACCTCTGTCACAACTTGGGCACCTCTACCGTTGGCACCTCCAGCTGGGAGTTCCAGAGGAGGGGCTCAAAGAGCAGGTTGGCACCCTGGGCAACTGTTGCAGGGGACCTGGAGGTGGACGTGAGCCTCCAGGCCCAGAGGAGGTCCTGGTAAAAATCTGGCAGCCATCGCAGGTCCTGCAGGGAGAATTCCCGCAGGCTGAGGAGCTCCCCAGAAGCTCCTGAGGGCAAGTAGCCCTGGTCACCAGGGTGGGTTTTTATACTGCTGGGGCCAGCACCTGTGCTGGCCCCAGGCTCTAGCTCCCCCTGGCTGAAAATCCAAGGTCATTTTGCCCCAAGGGTCATTATGGCCAGGGCCATTTTGCCCCAAGTCGCACAATTTGCCCCACACCAAAGTGTGAATTCAGGTATGTGCACTGAAGCTAAAATCTCCAACACAAATTTTTGCCATTCCTATTTGAGCTGCTGCAAGCACATGTGCCTGCATGTGTGCGCATGCCCCTTATGTCCTCCCTAGCACAGAGGGAAAACAGAAGGCAGTCCACAGAAGTCAATACAGCAAAAATCCAAACCTGTAGCTCAATGAACCATTGTGAACTTATAGAATAGCAAGAAGAGAGAGTTCTGGGACCTCTCAGACTTTATCAAAGCCAGATTTGGTCCATTTCAAGATGTAGCTGTTCAGCCAGGCTTTCAGCTGAACATTTAGATGTGCCCCAGAAGAAATGTGTTAAAGCTACACACCAATAGAATAACAAAATGGGTCCATCCTATTTTAAATAGGTGTTTTAAATTATCAGTGTCCCAACGATGGGTAACCTATGCATGTCTGTTAAAGCTGGTTAAAGTGTTCATCAAAAATATCTATGCATCAATAGTCTTGTCTCAAAAGGAACATTTTCATGACTTCATATGTTTTGGGTTTTGAATAAAAATGAAAAATAATGAATATCAGCTGTCCACTTTCAAAAAATAAAACTAATTTTTTTTCCTCTGCCTTTTGTCCTTCTGTTTTGGCACTGGGGAAGAATGAAAAAGGGGGGACATGAACAATTCAACTCTTTTTAGTTTTGGTTTTTCATTGATAAAAAGTTTGCATAATTTTTTAAAATAAAAATTTTGCAGGGTTTCCTACATTTTTTTTTTTCAACCAACTCTTACGTTCACATAAAGAAACATTCAGCATTCCTTTAGTATTCAATTCACCAAGTATTGAGTAATTTTCTTCAGTCCTAAATAACCTTAACCCTCAACTTTTGCTATGCACAGGAAAGTATTTTGCCAATATATGTTATAAACTCATTTCTAAGCAATTTTTTTGGTGGGGTTGGAGATTGTTTGTTTGTTTGTTTGTTTGTTTGTTTGTTTTTTAAATCCCACTAAGCTTTTATATAAATCCTCACTGCATTTGTTCCATGCTGAAAAATTCCTCGAGATGATACTTTTACTTTTCATATATACATTATACTTTTCTTATATGATAAATGTAACAAGATGGCATGGTTTTATTAATGATGCATATGTTTTCTTCCTGTCACTGCATGTCCTGGAATTCATCAGAAATATTTGCAGTGGTTTCCATTCAGTGTATAGCAATGGATAAAAAAAAAAATGTGTTCTGGAAATTCTAAATTCTCTCCAAATTCAAAATACCCCACGAGAACAAAACATTCATAGTTTCATAGATTTAGGGTCGGAAGGGACCTAGTAGATCTTCTAGCCCGACCCCCCGCCAGGGCAGGAGAACAACAAAACCCCAAAACAAAAACGGGACTCAAATGAGTCCAGCCAGGTAGGCATCCAGCCTCTTCTTAAAGACCCCCAGGGTAGGGGCCAGCACCACTTCCCTTGGAAGTTGGTTCCAGCTCCTAGCCACCCTAACTGTGAAGTAGTTTTTGCGGATGTCCAATCTATACCTCCTCTCCATCA